TTTTTTTCTTTTTTGCTACTTCATCATAAACCAATAACAATTTTTAAAGGTTTATCTACCGATTATATACGAAATATAAAGGTGCAGTTGATATTGAATCGTATACGATATATGCATGTATATAATATAGTTGAATTGTTATAGTTGGTTTTCTTAAATCTTACGATATTGATGATGATGTCGATTATAATAAAACTGATGATGATGATGATGATGTTGAGATTATATTCGTTGGTTTATAATATGAAAATCTATGGGATATATACACATATGTACGTATATGTTTACATAAGTATATAAGCATCTTTCTGTAACTTATAATTCTCTATAAGAAGACGAATTTGTTTTCCATTTTTTTTTTCTCTCTCTCTTTCATTTCAATACTATTTGCTTACTCATTTCATACATTTTCCAAATATTTATATTTTAATCGTATATATACCTTAAGCTTACATATACCTTGTACATACGTCTATAGTTATGTATATTGAAAAATATATGTAGGAAAAAAATTTAAGGTAATATAGGATAAGCATAATAAAACAAGGAGCAGGATCCACTCTATATAATATTTACAATACCTTTAGTTTAAATTTTTTCTGGTTTCGGTTGGATTTCTTTACAATCTCTGTTGCTTTTCTTCTTATAACCATATACAATATATTGGAAAACACTACTATTATAATGGAGTTATATATTTGCTTTTTTCTTTTTTTGGAGATGAATAAGTAAAATCCAAAACCAAACCAAATCAAAAATAAAAAAAAAAATCGAGAAACACAAAAATAAATTATAGTAACTGAATTGGTTTTTTCGGTTTTTTGCTTATTTTTTTTTTTTGTTTTGTGATTATTTGGAACGGATGTTGCGTCTTCATAAACGGAAACAGAAATTCAATGAAGGAAATCGTTTCAGCTTTCGTAAACAGAAAATAGAAAAATAAAATAAAATGTGGTAGACCGTAAACGGATATTTAAGTAAATATTTTATTATAACGCTTCTTTAATATAAGAAGAACAAGAAAAAATAAAACTAAAAATATAGAAAAAGAGTTACAATTCTCAGAAAATATAGACAAAATCTATAAAATATTGGTTATATAATAAAATACGATATACATATTTATATATATATATATATATTATGTATACCTGCAATAGTCAATAAGCTGTATGGAATCTTACGATTTAGAAGGATTTCTATTTTTAAAAGCTAAAAAATGTTTATGAATTTTTGTGTTTAGGTTATATTTGAAATGTACGATTACGCAATAAAATGATATTTTTAATAGCAGCTGTATTTGACAGTATAACTTTACAGTTAATCACTATGAAGGATGACATATTAACATTATCAAATGTCCAGAACCAAATTTTATTTTCATTTTATAGTAACATAAGTGTCAGTATTGTATTTAAGGCACTCACAGTAAATTATTGTGTAATGCTTACAAGCTTTTGGAACATTATTATGCCCCTTCTTTTGTTATAGATCTCGAACCACTCCTTTAATGGAATCATTTAGTAAGTTAGAAGTTGCTTTTATATTATGGTGTACAATCAAATAATTGCAGAAAGACAGCAGTATCTGGTACTTCCAGAGACACCCCTAAATGTTACTATGAACTGCTCCCTTATGTTACGTCAAAAACTGAGTTGTCAAAGATCACTTCCTAATATTCGACTCCTGTTGTGCTCTTTCTTTCTTTTTCGTCTACGTGAATTGTATGCAGATGTTCCAGTTTCTTTCTTCTATATTTTCAAACTTACCTGAGTGATGTATCACTCTATTAAAATTGTTTTGTAAGATATTTGTTTTATTTTAGATTTATTTCAAATTCATATATTAAAATTAATATATGAATTTTAATATTTATTAAAGAAACTTTTAAATTTAAAAAATTTTGAAATTAAATAAATAAATTGAATTTCAATAATAACTGTTTTAAAGTTGAAAATTTTTGTAAAACACAATTTCTCCCATATTATTAAATATTATATTATGAAACTTTGGAAAATAAAGTCCTAAAGTCATGATTTTTTAAAAATATTAAATTACGTAATATTTACAGAAAATATTTTTTTTTTTTAAAAAAAACAGCTTAAATATACAAAATATTTATTATATTTCTTTCATTTAAAGTTTCGAAAAAAAAAACAAATAAAGTAAACAAAAAAAAAAAGGAAAGCTTAAGAAAAATTTTAACCTGCTCGTTATTTTTCCCTGCATACGAGTAAATGAGTAAATAAAACACAAAATCAGATGTGGTCAGCACATTGTTAAGTGCTTTATGTATTTTATAAACAGGAAGTTTAAAAATTTCTCAGATAGATCGGAGAGAATATTGGTCCCTATTTTTAAATATCGCCACTCCCAGTTAGTAATTACGTTATCGTAATTAATAACAGTACAGACAATTATTGTAATTAATTACGATCAGGTTGATTGTGTAAGACGAAATATTGAACACTCTATGAATGAAGACGCGGAACCATAATTCATACCGCATTTTTATAATTTGGAGAAATTCATTACTATTAATTCATTACTATATACTAATAACGTAAGTGAAATTCGGTTCGATAACAATACCTTTCTTATTATATGCAATGCAGCCGGTAAAAATACGTGAAATTTTGTTAAAAGTTCCATAATTTTTAAATATAAAATTTTTTTTTTTTTTAAATAAACTCTTTTTTTTTTGCCATTACCGTATATTATGTACACACCGGTATACATCATAGGCGAGTATATATACAGGAACGTACATATATATGTAGACTCAAATATGTATTTTTCCTTTAAAATTTCTGTACAAATAAAGTATTCGTAGTCATGCATATACTACATATTGTATATACATTTAGAATTCGTACAATATAGTACATGTATATGGATAGGTCTTGCTCCCATATCGTATCGTATTTATTAAAAGTAACTGCTTAGTTACAGTTCGTATAATTCGATTTACCCCATTAAATTCGTACATTTTTCTCAAAAAAATTTTTTTATTATTATTCGTTTTCGTTGGATGAATTTCACATATGTACGTATATGTATGTATAATGTATGTGAAATGGATTTTGGTGTTATGGTTTTTGGCAATATAGCACAGTAGATGAATTTTCAAATATGTTTTTCTTATTTTTTTGTATTTTTAAATAAAAGTAAAGAATATGGTTTTCTTTTTATTTTATTAAACTATAAAAGTAAGAGAATGCTCTTTTTATTCAAAAAAAAAAAAGGAAAAAATAAGAAGAAATGAAAAAGGCAATTAAAAGGACATTTTATAAGGAAGAAACTATAACAAGATGATTCTTAAATTGCATGTATATTTGCATGCATGTGTGTGTGTGTGTGTGTTCTTTGCAATACAAAATAAAGAAAATCTACATTTACATTGTTTTTGTTTTAAGAAAGGAGTATTGCATGGGTAAAAGAAATTAAAAGTGGTTTCAATAATTATATTGGTACTCGTAATGTGGTACAAAATTATATTGAAGGTATTTATGTGGTGAACATATACATATCTATGACAATATATGAACATATTCAGGCATCTATTCTTCAATGATTTTAAAATAATTTTAATATAAAAAAAGTTAATTTATTTTTTCTTCATTTTTAATTACCTTGGTTTTATATTCGTATATAATATTGTATAAATTAAGAAAATTTTAAAACCGAGAAATTTTTACAATAAAATATGTAATAAGAACAATAGCTGGTATACAATATAGTCGAACTTGTCTGTATATCCCTTTTCCCAGTATAAAGCTAAAGATTAAACTGCATAATAATTTCTCAATACGGAGAAAAACCCGTCCGAAACGATTGTCACGTCTGATATCTAGTACCGGGCAGTGGCAAAGGGAGTGCATGATAATTTCGGCACTATCCCCACAGAATCTGCCTGAAAAAGAGATTCCGAATCCGGGTTTTATTTACCCCCATTAACTCTGAATCTTACTTCCCCGAGCAAGATTAAAAAAACGCCTTGCACGATACCAACGCGGCGTCAGTAAAATCGTTTTGCCTCCCAACTAAGGTAGCCTAAAGGGCCTTTCACTCCAATCTATCGAAAACAGCCTTCGTTGTCTCAATCCGTTGTCCACTCTTAAGGGTGTAATTTTTTAAATTGTCTCTCACAAAGATCTCTATTCAAAGTATTTGGGAGTGCAGGATAGTAGGGCCGGTTATACACGCGTATATACCTCAACTCTTGATAACGAAAGTCATATACTTAACGTTTAAGCCGTTACGGTGAACCTGTCTATATGGATATTTTACCAGAAATGATAACAGCAAGATGCTGTATTTCAAATCAACAATTTTCTGAAAAATTTTACACATAATGGACGTGCAATTTTGGGGTTTTCTATCACACTTTCTTTTCGCTAATGATAATCCGTACTGAGCCCATTCTTTCAATGTATTGGTATTGCATCACATTTAAAGGATATGCAGAGTGATATTTAATGTTCGAATCAATTAATAAACGGCTATCCGTAACTCACTTGTTTTAAAGAAAGCGGTAGCTTAAGAGAATGATAAAACAAGTTTTGTAAAATAATTTGAACGTGATTTTTTTTATTTCATTTCTATTTTTATTGACACGTCCTAAAAATTTTATTATTCCAAATATATTCGAAGTTTCCAATTAAATTTTAATTTAACTAAGAACTACATATATATATATATATATATATTACGGTATGTAGCCATAGCTATAGTACAATTTGTTGAATAAAAACAAGTTCTCAAAAAGTCTCATATTCCATTTAAAATATATACATATACTACTTCATATACGAGTATATATAGGTTAACCCCATGTACTTTTACTTAAAATAGAAATAGAACAATATATATATATACTTATACATACTTAAATTTAGACCTCAATATATTTTATTTACTTACATATTTTTTATTTATTTAATTTTCTCTATTTTTTTATATAATTTTCTATTTTTTTTTTTCTATATATTTGTATATAGGACCAGAAGGATGCAATTTATTTATATATCATTTACCACAAGAATTTACTGACACAGATTTAGCATCAACATTTCTTCCGTTTGGAAACGTGATTTCCGCTAAAGTGTTTATCGATAAACAAACAAATTTATCAAAATGTTTTGGATTTGTATCATTTGATAATCCTGATTCAGCGCAGGCAGCAATTAAAGCAATGCATGGTTTTCAAATTGGTACAAAAAGATTAAAAGTTCAATTAAAAAAACCAAAGGATGCATCAAAACCATATTAGGTATTTATTATTATATTTTTTACTATACATATACTATATATATACATATATATATATTTAAATATATACATATATAATTGTGATTTATTTTTATGCACAGAGACTGTATCCGAACAATATCTTTATAATTATTATTGAGGATTATTAATAGAAAGTTGAAATTATGAGGAAATCATTAAATATTTTTTATAGCTACTAAATTTTGCTATATTTTCAATAAATCTGCTAAGAACATATTAATTTACTAATTTTATTGCTTTGATGATATTCTAATACAAGTTCTTTTCATACACGAATAAATTTTTAATGATATCTCATAAAATTCTAATCATACTATTTTAACAATATTCTAGAACTATTTCCTAATAAAATCAAGAACAATTAAATTATAAGTACTTATAAAATAATAATGGATATTATTCGAGAAATTATTACAATGTTATGTTTAAATCTTCAATTTGGCGAATAATTTCGGAACATACCCCAAATATTTGAAAATGTATGTTGAAACAGAGTCCAAATATTTTATTGTATTACAATTATTAAATTTATTCGGAAAAGTACAAATGTTGTCCATTGATTTCACAGTTTTCAAGGCAAGTTTAATTGCTTGGTATTTATTGCGTTGATATTATATTCTATTATCTACACTAGACAGATTATATTCCACATTCTACATTAGAGAGATTATATTCCACGTTCTAACTAATTCTCTTTCAGAAATAATATGAAATAAAGTAGTATTAATAAAAGAAATTAAAAGAAATACTACCAAAAATTATTCCCGAATAATAAAATATTGAATAAATATTATAAATGACATTAAAATTGAATTAAATGTCATCTTCATTTGTCAAAATAGTGACATAATTTAATGACGTGTGTAATGAATTTTTTCCAACAGTACTTGCTTTTATTCGTTAACAATATTGAAATTTTAGAAATGTGGTACCCAATTTTGTTTTCTCTCGTTTTACACTATGCCTAGAAAATTTTGATACACCCTGTGCATATAATAAATCAAATAACTGTAATCCTTTAAATTAAATAAATAAATAAAAAAAAAACTGTAGTTTTTTTCCGCTTCTTTTTTTTTATAACTTTTATTTATATTTCCTCAAATTTTATAAATTTATTTACTTATATCTATATATATAGGTATATATATATATAAATATATATATATATATATATATATATTGATGTGTTTATGTTTATACTATATAAAATGTGAATTTATTTTTTTTGCTATCGCTTCTTTTTATTTTGATTTTTTATTTTCTCTTTTTTTTTTAATTTTAGTGTATTTTCTTTCTTGTGTACACACATATACACTCAACTTACAACTATTTCGTAGTTTATATATATATATACATGTTTGTAGTATATAGTTCAAAAAAATATATATATATATGTACATGGTAGTTATATATATATATATATATATTACAAAAATAAATATATTATGTGCTTTATATTTTTATTTCTATATTATTGTTTGCAAATAAATTATTTAATTATCGTATTGGCAATTTGCGAAAATAAAATAAAATAACAAAAAAAAAAATAGAATAAAATAAAAAATTACTCAAGTAAAACCGAATTAAAAATAAATACAAAAAAAAAAAAAATTGAAAATAACAAGAAGAAATACGCAAGTAGAATACTAAAAACACAAAAATAAAGAAAGAAAAAAATTATAAGGATAATAAGGAGAAAAAAAAAACAAAAACAAAAACAATAGACATAATAATAAAATGAAAAGGGACTTGTTGAATTTAGGTTAAGCGTTTTTTATTTTTATTATTTTGATCAGTTTTAATGCTAAAAACTTTAATAAAAATTTCTTATATTTTATATTTTTTGTTATTTTTTATTATTTTTTATTACTTATTACATGTATACATTATGTAATTAAAATGTTAAAGCGCTGAGAATTAACATCTCTATACTCAAATACACATAGTATACAATAATATAAATAATATATAATTGTATGCATAATAATTATTTAAATTAACTTAATTTTCAAATAATGAATCAAACATGTTGTATAGGTATTCAAACATGTTGTATACCTATTATGATTTTTAATGATTTAAATAAATTATTAAAAATGTGCGAATTTTTGAGAATCAATATTAATATTTTTTTAAAAATAAATATAAAATATTTATTTTGTTTGCCCATTCATACACAGAGCCTATAATTATGCAATATATGTATGAAATATATTTTAAAAATCAAATTTTTTAAATAATTTTATTAACATATCAAAAATTATGCTTATTTTACATTATTATTCTATTTAAATAGAAATATAATAAAATCTTATATGCAATTGAAAATTAAATTAAAATTAAAAATAATATTTTTATATTAAAATATTAAAAATAACTCAATTTTTTTCTCTTACTTTTCTGGAAATAACCAATTAACGAACATATTTTATTATTTAATTAATGAAATTTATTCAACTTACTCAATATGTACATATTCATTATTGTACCCACAATGTTAGTTAATTGAATAATTATTATGCAATAAATTATATATATAAATAATTTATTTTAAAAACTATTATTAACTATTAAAAATAATGAGGAATTTACATTTATTTACATAAAATGAACAAAAGTAATTGAATTTAATTAAAAAAATTTCTGAACACTATTAAAAAAAAATAGTAATTACAAAAAAAAAAATTGAAATAATTAATCGGATTATTATACCAAAGTATTTGTTTTGATTAATTATAATTTAAATGTATTTTTAAGTGTTTTTATTTATTAGTACATTTTTCTGCTGCAAATGTAGAGCACATCTTTCAATGAATTATTATTTTTATTATACGAACAATAAAGCTCACCCCACTCTTTGTTAATTTTAATTTAATAAACAGTATAACGGGTCTCACAAGAGAGAAAAAAGAGAGAGTCAGTTAATATAAATGCTTAAAATAGATGAGAATGCCACAGAACAGTTGATTTAGTTTAAAATTCTTAAATTAATTCAATATACTCTCATTGTTGTTGTGTCAGTGTATGGTGACATGAATTAAAAGAGAAAATTGAGAATTTTATATTATAACATTTTATGAAACTTAATGTATACATTGTAAAATTTCGCAGAAAGAGAACAATTATTCTTAAAAATTATTTATGTGTAAATAAAAAATAATTGAAATTTGCTTAAGTTGAAATTATTTTTTTTTTAATTATTTTCAATTTTGACTTAAAAAATTTTTTTATTACATAACCAGATTTTAATTTAAGCATTTAATTTTGTTTTATTTTTTGAGCATAAGAAAAAAATATTTCAATTTTTTGTTTTTGTTTTTTTTTTTTTTCTAAAACTCGAAATAATTTTTATAATAATATTTTTATTATTTGTTTTATTAATTTTAAATATTTTTTTTTTTTTATTAAAACACATGCACATCAATTTCAAAATCAATTTAATTTTAGTTCCGATTTTCTCCGCAACAAAAAATTATTAAATACGTATCTAATATCAAAATATTTATAATATGTCAAATATGTCAATTAATGAGAAGAACTAAAATCGAAAAAAAAAAAATATTAACTAAAATATGTGCGCGTGTATGTGTATAAAGAATTAAATTAGAAATTATTATGAACTTATATAATATTTGTTTAATTTACTTATCGTTCTCCGCCATAATAAAAGTATATTAATTGAAAAAATTCGATTTCAAAGGTTCTGGGACCATAATTTTAATTAAAAATTTGCAAAAAATTTTATGTTATATTTAGTATAACAAAAATGAATTCAAAATTAAATATCAGAAAAAATCGACATTTTTTTTTGCTATTTTCCGAAATCGATGTTTTTTGAGTTAATACATTTTTATTATAGCCTTTATATTTCTTCACTATTTATAGTTTATTTAATGATTATTATTTTTTTCTTAAATGTTTTATGTTTATATTTTAAAAAATTCTTGTTTTTTTTTTTTTAATTTTAATTTTTGTATATAAGAAATAGAAAAAAAAAACTCAATTTTATGTCAAAACCAGTATAAAAACAAGACTGGTTAGATTATGTCATAATATTTTGTTGTTGTATTCTACTATAATTATAAATTATATATGTATATGTAGGTATATATAACGCCATCTCCTTAATTAATAAGGAACTATAATATATAACATATGAACAATTATTATTGTTAATTATTAAAATTTAATATGTTTTTTAATTTTATAACTATTATTCTTATTTTATTAATAATTTTGTATAAAAATTTGTATTTGAATTGATTTGATAAAAAAAAAACAAAAAATTATTTTTATTTGTTTTATGGAATTATGAAAAATGTTTTTTATAAATTTATGAAATTTTATGAAGTGTTTTATGAAAAAAAAAAAAAATTTTGTATTTTAATTATTTTACAAAAAAGTTTTGTTATCACTTTCCATTTTTCTTTTTTATTACTTTCACAATTAAATTTTTTCTTAGTGTATACAGAATTTTAAGTTGTATCGAACATGTTTGTTTGAAACAGAAATTGTTCGAAAATGAAATTGTTTGAAAAAGCAATTATTCGGAGCAATATTTGATCTTTAGAATTGCGAATACTATAATCATTCGATACAACTGTAAATTTTTATTAATGTTGGTACACTGAGAAAAAATTAAATTATAATTAATTTGTTAATTACTATTATAATTGTATAATTTGAATTTTTACTTTAAATGTTTAATAAAAAAAAAAATATATATTTTATATGTTTAATTAATAATTATTATTATTATTATTGTTTATATATTCTTAAAATTAATTTGAATTGAAAATTGTTTTATTTTTTTTTTTTATATTTGTTTGAAATTTGTTTTGAAATTGAATTTATGTCAAAATATAATTTGAATTATATATATATATATATATGTTTTTTAAGACTGAATCGATTGAATACATATTGATATTTAAATAATTTGAAAATTTTTAATATTTAAATATTTAATTAAATTCTATT